AGAGAGAGAGAGAGAGAGAGAGAGAGATAGATAGATAGATAGATAGATAGATAGATAGATAGATAGATAGATAGATAGATAGATAGATAGATAGATAGATAGATAGATAGATAGATAGATAGATAGATAGATAGATATTTGACTCTGTGATCTTTATTCAGATGTAGTTGAAGTAAATGTTCATGAGCTACTCAGAAAAGTACTGTCTCCGAACAAAAGCTCAATTTGTGTGATTAGTTTTGTTCTTATGTAAGACCGAGTGAATATCTATTTTTTTTCCAGCAAACAAATTTTGTTGTTTGGCAATTTGAAATGTAAATGGAGGACTTACTCACGTTTGCTCTCAAAGTGCAGTGTTTTGAAACAGATTTTTGCCCTGTTTTGCTAAATGTCAGGCAAACAAAGCACATAAAGAGCTCATTTAAATTCAGAGGGCTCTCTCTCTGCTAAGCTGAGTGTGTCACTGTGAATGAAGAGTTACACTAAATCACTCAGCAGAGGATACTTCACATCAGAATCTTTGACTAAACACCTTGAACTTCTTTTCTGCTTGAAAAACTTTGGGATGAGGTAAATCATTGCCAAAAACAGGATCAGGTTCAGGAGTTGTGCCTTGGGTAATTGTTGCACAAAAGACCTTGAAACATGTGGAGGGTGCCTGCATGGTCTCAGTTGATTCAAGATATGTGGATTCCCTTCCTCGACTTTTGTTCCTCTTGGACATATGTTTTTATTTATTTATTTCACAGAAATGTTAATAGTTGCAAACAATGATTAAACATTAGTGTCCTCCCCACTGAGCAAGGAGATGTCTAAATATATTTTTAAGTTGTTTTTGCACGTCTAATGTTGGTCCCTCGCAGGTGCAGACTGTGACAACAGATGACGTATTTTTTCCGACGCCCGCTGGACGGTCACAACATTTAACTTATTGTATTCACTTCAGATTATAATAACATTATTTTTAAGTGCTTTGTGTTGTCATCATTATATGTTCCGATGCAATGGTGAACACATTCACCCCCCAGATGGATGTTGGAATGACTGGGGTTCAATCGCAGGACCTTCAGGTTTGGAGTCAGCTGCTCTGCTGCTTCCCCAACTCTATGCAGCAAAGTCAGAGAAACAGTATTTGACCATCTATTGTGCGGCAGGAAACTGGTCCTCCATGCACTACAGATACTAGGTTTACAATTAAATCAACACTCCTTCATTTTTTTCCTTTATCCTTTTTACTGGATTAACAGAAGTAGCTCCGAGAGAAGAAAATAGCAACAGTTGGTTTATGAACGAAGCCGTGCAAATTTATAATCATAAAAGAGTAACTGTGCACAGTTTCTCTTTTATGATTATAAATTATGATTGTAAATTTTATGGTTATAAAAATAATGATTCACTTAAGGCACACCTGCCCGTGTCTTGGGTGTCTATATGACCTCCAAGTCCGACGTTCAAACATTCTACTCTATATTGACGTACATGTGAGTTCAGCGTTAGACGTCCATAGTGGACCTTGTTTGCACGTCGGGGAGACGTCCAGAATTGGTCTTGACTGACGGACTCAATATAGACGTGATATGCGCATCCGTTCGACATCTAATGTTTAGTGGGTCCCTCCGTCGGGAAATTAAGATTGCTATTCCTTTAATTGTCCTATGTGTGCCATTAGTGCACCATTAACTGTATAACTACTAGACCGAGGAACAACGTCTACCCTGAAGCTGTTAGATTCATGAATCCCTAACCAGGTAATGACTGTATGAAAAAAAAAAAAAAAAACAGTAATGCCACTCTAATTGGTGATATGTGACTTTTTTGTGCTGCTGATTATGTTATGCTGCTGATTATCTCATGCTACTGTTTTCATTCATACCTATCTGCTCACCACAGACTCATGTTCAGGCTGCTGTTGTTATGCCATATTGTTTTACATTGTTAGTGTTTAGCGTATGCCTTAGATCCTTTAAAACTGTTTCTTTTTATACTTTATATTTTTGCTATTTTTGGGTGTAACTGGGACCCGTGTACATTTTGTTCCACCTCATGTACCACATGGAATGGTAATGGCAATAAAATTGACTTGAACTTGAACATATTTGTCAGAATCTATCGGATGTGATCACATAACTTAAAATCTAACTACTGTTCTAACAATAGTTAGATTTTAAACTATGTGATCACACTTGATCAGTTTTTTTTTCCATGTGCATTTCATTAAATACATCATATAAACTGTCCTCATAGTGAATGAGTACTAAGTATAGCAGCTATAGGAGAGAGAACAGAAAGTTAAAGGACAATTGCAGGCTTCGTCATGGAGTCTATTTTCTATGTTATATTGATTATTTTATTTACTCTATTTGCTTCCTCCTTTCATTAAACAATGACTTCCCTCTTTAAGGATTTTTTTCTTCCTCCACCTTCTGCTTACCCATATTGATCTATGCTTCTGTTTAGGTGTTAGACTCAACATCTGGCAGCTGTGCAGTTGGAGCACATTCCCTTTCTATTCACTAATACATTCCCTTTCTATTTTCTAATCAGACATTTAGATTTCACATTTTTCTCTTCCGAATTCTCACCAAGTTCCAGTTTTCCATTTTGCCTGTTTCATTCCATTCCAGTTTGTGTTAGCAATGTCAACAGGAGTCTAATCTTTCCAAATGCATAAACATAAAGAGTCAATTTATCAAACTAAATTATTTTCAAACAAACTAGGAATGAATTATATGTCCCAGAAAGTGGCTATAACTATCATGAGAGGTGATATAATGTTAATACTACTACTACTACTAATAATAATAATACTAATAATAATAGTAATAATTAATAAATAAAGAAGTAAAATAAAATGCCCTTAGGATCTGACAAAGGATAGGAAAGTGAGAGGCTTTGTTTTGCAATTTGAGAAAATTCATTGTGGGTAAAATGTTGCTTCACACTTAAAAAAAAAAAAAAAAATGCAAATGTCATGTTTTTATCTGTTTGCATTTGTTGTGCTTTAGCTTTCAGTTTTTATTTGCTCTTTTTGACCTTTTTTATCATTTTAAAGCAGTAAATCAATGGAAGTGCAAGTGAATGCATAAATAAAACATAAAATAACAATTCCACAGAAAACCATTGTTGGTACAAAAAGGTAGATTTAAAATATATTTGTTTTGATTTGTTTTCTGCCTCGTTACGTTTTCAGTATCTTTAATATTATACTGTAACAATTCAGGTGTTGAGTTATTTTGGCATCTTTTTTTTTTTTGTCTGTTTTTGTCTTTCTTAACAGAGAGTTTGGGAGATGGAAGGTGAACAACTTAGCGGTGGAAAGGAGAGATTTTCTCGAGTCTCAGTTACCGCTGACGCCCGAGTTCATCAGGAATATTCGACTTCTGGGTCGCAGGCCAACCACGCAGGCGATAACCGACAATCTGATCAGGAAGTACGGAACACACTTCCTGTTGTCAGCTACACTTGGAGGTAAAAAAAAAAACATATTTTTTATATATTCATAGAATGATAAGATAGTTTTCTTTGTTTGTTGTTGTTTTGTTTAGCTTTTTATTTTAATATGCATCTACCAACTGAATCCTGAAGTAAACGGACGTTGACAAGTGACAAGGTGACACTTGATTGGCGTTTTGTTTGCTTTCTTTTTAATTCTGTCTTCTCTTTGTTACCAACTGAATTATCATATGATTAGACACAGAGTGCTGTTCCTGAACACTGAGAAACACCACATTACACTTCTAATACCATTAATTTATGATTGCACTTAAATGTGAAATAGAAAAAGATAAACTAAATCATAAGGCTTCTTGAAAATATTTTAAGTAAACGGGGGCTGTGTGAGAGGACTTTATTTACAGCTTTTTGTTACAGACTTGTTCACTTAAACCCCACAAGATTCACACAAGATTAGTTTTACCTAGGGACCACATGCTATTTTTAATAATTACAGAGATTGGCTGTGTTGTTAATCCCGTGCAAATTTGCCATGTCAGTAATTTGTCATGTCAGTAATTTGTCATGTCAGTAATTTGTAAAGTAAAAATTCCCCCGCAAATTACCTACTATGGTTTTCTGAACTCTGAGGTCCTGTGATAATACTAATCCAATGTGAATAGGCATCTCTGTGATTTGGACAGAAATGGGCAGGATCCAATATGTAATGAGGTGTTTTTTTTTTTTGTTGTTTTTTTTTTGTTTGTTTTCTAAAAAAAAAATTAAAAATGTGGAAAAAATATAGAACAAGGCTATTTTAAATGAATGCGTTGCTCGCTTCACTTTTGTAGATGCTGCTAATTCCTTCACCGCTGATGACAGCAGGTGCGGAGACGCATGCAGCCGGCGATCAGCTGATCTATCCATCCATCATCCATCCATTCATCCATTCATTATATTTACCCGCTTCTTCCTTTTTGAGTAGCGGGGATCGCTGGTGCCCATGTCCAGCCATCACTGTGAGAAAGGTGGGGTACACCCTGGACAGGTCACAACTCCATATCAACCGGCGGGTCAGCGGACGTGCACGGCCAGTGACAGGTTGTCCGTCTGAGCCTAACGTGACTTTTTTGTTTAACCTCTTTAAACCGGCCGGTTGGATCTGCATCCTCTTCAACAAGTAGATTAACACAATTTTATTTTGCGCATTCTTATTTAGTTTTCTTCGAGCTGTATAATTCGTAAAACAGCATCAAAGCCCAAAACTGGCTCGGTGCACACATTAAGCACATTATTATGGACTGGCCTGGTCCGAATCCAGGTCAGGCTATGGATTCACAGCTCTAAAATATGCAGCACGTTACCATCATTTCCACAAGATGTCTGTAAATTTCAGCTAAATCTCAGGCTGTGGTAATCCCGTGCGAATGTGCAACATAAAAAGCAGATGTCGGGGAGTAATTTATTTATTACATGTGGTTCCTAGGTAAAACTAATCCCATGCGTATAGGGCTTTAGTCTCACACACTCATTTTTTATGTCCGGCTTTATGTGCACTCAGTCCACATTGGTGACAGATTCATTTAATATTGATTTTTGAAACAATGGTTCCTTGATTTTAAACACGTAATGACAGAAGCTGCCGTCACAGTTCCAGTGAATCTTCATCAATTTTGCTGAGCGAAATAAAAATTGATGCTGGCAGATTTTATCAGCTGCAGCTACTGAGTTAATTAGACTCATTTTTGTGAGTTTCAATTATTAATTTGAACAATTGTAGTTATTATTACAGTACTTATGTATTCTAAAATATAAAAATGAATTTGAAATACTTCACTTTTCAACATGTGATTGAAAAGGGCTTTTTTTTTTCTCCTTTAAAATGGTCTGAACATTTGTAAATAGGTATGAAAGCAAATAGTGTCTGTTCTTTCAGGTGTTCCATATGAATAATAGATGGATATAGTACATTACTGCTGTTAACTTAATTGAATAACACACCACAACATAATTCTGAGCCAAACAAGCACACACATTGATTGGACAGCATATAAAAGCCTGAACACTGTAAACCTGCCAGTCATACTTTTAGTCATACTCACCTGAAGTTGTTTCCATTGGCCTGATGAATGGAGAAGCACTAATGGCTTTTTGGCCTACCTGAACAAAAAAAAAAAAAAAAAAAAAAAAGAAGAAGAAGGAAAGAAACAACTTTAAGATGCCAGAGAGGTCCAGGCCTGTCATGAAGAGATTTGCTTTTACAGGGCAACACTTGTCAATTACTTTAGACCTAACTGAGGGCTTTGAAAAGGTCTTTGTTGTGAGTAGCTGCATATAATGTAACCGGCATAGCTTTGTGAGCCGAAGCAGCCCTGAACTCTGGCTCTCAGCCAGTGCTTAGTGCTATACAGAGAGGAGAATGAGGAGTTGGCCTTGGATTTTTGCCAATGAACTGTCCCTGTTGTCCAGTATGGATTGCCAGTGTGTTCAGAAACATATGGACTTAATGAAATTAATAAATAGATTTTGATATTAGGAGTTTGCCCTTCAGCGGCAGAGTAAGAAAGGCAGCAAGCAGAAAAATGACTCTGAAACATTAACGCTGCATTACAATGAGAAAGATGATGTGCAGTGTCTCTGGAACTCTAAAAGCATAGACAGTCTGCTGCACCATGGCCTCACACTCATGAACAACTGACTGATATGATCAGTGGCTTCGGATTCAGGCTGGCGTGGCTTATCCTAATTGTGGTCAAGCGTCTTTATCCTTCACTGGCTGTCCAGGCTCTTATAATCATCTGAAAATATGAGCAACTGAGTCACTTAGGAGATGGTTGTAGAGCTCTAAAATTATGGTTACACAACTGTAGATTAATTAGCTTAAAAATAAACATAAAACACCACCATGGCCTCTGTTCTGCAGTGAGATGAGCTAAAACACACAATGATCTGTACTGAAAAAGTACAACATTAATTTGCTATAAAAAAATTAAACCTAAAACATATATCCATCTATCCATCCATCCATCTATCTTTTTTCTTAAATTATTAAAAAGAGAAAGAGTATATGTGAAAGACTCCTTTCTTCTTTCAAAATAATATTCTTATCCTCAAAAAGTACCAGCACCATTTTTAAAACAAACTTTATATGTATATCGGGGTCGAGATGGTGTAGGGGCAGGGCAGCTGACTCGGGACCAAACGCCCCGAGTTCGATCCCCGGTCATTGCTTATCTCGTGGCGTCTCTGAGCAGGACACCCAATCCCGAATTGCACCCCGGGCGCTCACATAGCTGCCCACTGCTCCACCTGGGTCCATCCCAGCTGCAATGGATTAAATGCAGAGAACCAATTTAATCTTTGTATGGGAACATACAATGATGACAACACATAGCACTTTATTATGTTGTTGTGTGTGTTTTACAATGCAGGAGAAGAGGCTTTAACAATATTTGTCGATAAACGGAAGCTAAGTAAAAAGGCAGAAGTGAGCGATTTCTCTGGCAACTCCTCCGCTGTGACTCTGGAAGCCCTGCACCAGCTGGCTGCATCCTACTTCATCGACAGGGAAAGCACTCTGCGCAAGCTGCACCACATCCAGATTGCTTCTACTGCCATCAAGGTAATGCCTCTACATTTACCTTTTTCTTCATTATTGGTGCTCAATGAAATGCACAAATCATTAAACAGTATATGTTTTGTGATCTTGGTTCACTTATCAATAATACTAAAGGTATAATGCATATCAGATGCATACTATCTCCCGATAGCCTGATGCATGCTCAATAATCCAGATAGAAAAATCTAAAAAAGTTAAGTCAGGTCCTCTGGATGGATTCCATTGTTAGGCTGATGGCCCTCTTTGATCATGTGAACAGCTGGTTTTGGTTGTCAGCAGCAAACTGGTTGATCCACTATGAGAAGGTGCTATTTATAAGACAGCTCGTCAGACTGAAGAAGTCTTCCAGATGGAAGACGAAACATTTCTACAATTTGTTTGCTTTTTGAACCCATCCAGAGGACCTGACTTAACGTTTTTAGACATATCCAGGTAGCTATCACTTGGGATGACATTGTTACCTTATTGTTCTTGTTATTTTTTAGGAAATCTATTAATTCACTTTTATTCATAACTGTATACAAATACTGGAATTATCCTCTGTCATCCCTATACGTTTTTCCTATATATATGGATTTCATGGTGCATCATTAATATCTATGACTCTTTTCATTACTGCTTCAATGTGCAACCATACAACTTTACAGAAGAGTGACATGAAGCATACTCACATCCTACAGTTAAAGGACCACGGTTCATAAAGATACGTAGATCTTTATGGGCTGGTCTTTAACAATTTAAATGTTCTCATCTCTAAATTTTGGTTACAGACCTAATTCTTAAATTGCAACAGGTGTCATATTTTTAATGTGAATGTCCTTCTTGAGATAAAAAATAAAATAAAAAATCAAAATGTATGTGTTTTATTCACCTGCATGGGAGGAGATGTTATCTACATCTGCCTTGAACACTGAGTCTGCAGGAAGCTCCGTGATGAGCACATATGGTAAAGGGAAGATAAATGAGTCCTGAGAAACATGGCTGGTGACAAGTTACTGCCTCCGGCTGTCACCTTCAGGTAGCATGGGGTTAATAGGGTGACAGAGGGGAGCGCAACCTTCTTCTCTCACATTTCCAGCTCTTGGGACACAGTAAGACCTGGCTGTGTGACATCAACTGCTGTACCGGAGCATGAATCAAACTCCCCGTATTTATATTGAAACCGTGTGCCTCCAACCACACTTTGTTCAGAGAGGGATGAGTATTGCAGTCGAGGTGGGCGCATTGGAAGAGGAGAAGCAAATGCTGTTGTCAGTTCCATTTTTAGACTTTTTTTTTTCTGTCAATACTAGCAGAAGGAGAGAATGCGAAAGTTGCACTTTCATGGTCGAAAGGCAGTCATCTGGCGTGACTGACAGGTGGGGAGTAGGTAAAGCATAGATTCACCTTCATCACCAGTGGAAAGTGAGTCAAAGGAGCGACAGATTCCTTCACACTTGTGCATCCTTTCCACAGGCGATGACCCTCATGGTAGCTGAACAGATTGCACCTCTCTGCATAAATTTGAAATCTAACAAGTTGGAGATTGAATGAGAAAAGGGCTGGTGAGGAACTGCCTTCATGCTGCCTCTATGCAAATTGAAGCTCATGTTTGGTGTAAATGAATGCACTATTGTGCGCTTTAGAAATCAGGGCGAGCTTTGGAAAGCAATGACACATCGCAGAGTCTGTGATTGAACGTGTAGTCCAAAAGTGAGGGCACACACTTTTTTTTTTTACTTTTTCTTTTAGACTTAGTGGTAACCCTCTTTACCAGACCTCATTTTGCCAGTCCGTTTAAATGCATTTATAAAATGTAACTATGTTGAACGAGGGAATATATTAGCAACTTTAATTTTACTTTATGCTCTTGTGGACAGTCACTGGAATTCGTGTGCTCTTTTTAATGATTCAGTTTTCGTGCATATTCAATATCCCACTACTACTAATTTTCCTTTTGCCTCTGCCAGTTGATTGCATTAATATGACAGTCCAGACATCGCTGCACTCACCGGAGCAGAAAGTAGTATTTTCTAGCAATTAAGCTCTTATAAACATGCTGTGTGCCCTCTCTGCAGCAGGAAGCTGCAGTCAGATGAACAATGTCTGTTGGTAGCTCTTCAGGGTGGAGAAAATAGCACACTATTTATTGTTGATTGTGAGGACCAAACAGTTACTTGGTAAGAAAAGCAGCAAAATAAATGCATAAATGTTATTATTGTTTTTATCAACTGTGCTTTTAATTAACAGTAAAAACAAAACAACAGTACCTTTGCTGCTAACAGGACCACATTGCTAAGAGAATGTCACTACCAACAGAACCACTCTGCTAATAGGACCATGCTGCTATAGATGCACTTTTGGCACATTGTTTTTGTATTTTTGTTGCGTGCTTTGTTTTTTGTTTTACTTTGTTTTTTTTGGCGAGTCGAGACAGTTCTTCTCATCCTGAGCATCTCATTGCATTTTTGAACTTGATCTGCATGTGACAAATGTGATGCAGTGAAAAAGAAAACAGACAAACAGAAATCATTAATCTCCATCCTATCGTTTTATGACGTTAACAAGTTGAATGTATAAACAAAGTTCTGGATCTATCTAAAATCCCATTCAGCCTCCTTGAGGTAAAACAAAAACTGTGTTTTTATGTTTGTTTGTTTGTTTTGATGGTGTTGTTGTTTTTCTGCCTTGTATGTATTCTGCTTAATTACTCACAGTCAATAATATCCAGTAAATGAATGAATAGCTTATTGTAGCTACTCTTTGTTTTTGGTAGTTCTGAGATGTGTAGAATCTATACGACAGGGTTGTTAGTCGATGTTGCATATGTATTTGTAGTATTTGCTGATTTGCAGATTTTTCAAAGTGAAACTGCTTCTTCCTCTGTTTGGTTCTGTTTGCCATTGTTAACAGTTTGTAGTGCCAATTTCTGCAACATAATCATTTCTCTAATGGCTTAAAATAAGAATGTGATTCAGGAACAATAATGTCAAGACTGATGATTGAAAAATATGCCACATCAAGATGAGGGAAATTTATTTAAAAAATAAAAAAAAGATAAGAAAAAGAAAATAATAAATACCTGAATGTATTGTTTTAAAGGAGGTGAACATTAGGTGTATGTACTTTTTCTGCTAAAGGGCATACACATTATAAAGTACAGTATGGAGCTTTTGGACCCTAGACAATAATTTCACAGCATGAAGATTTAATACAGAGCAATGAGAAATCTGCTAAATCCTTGTCTTTGCTTCTTTTCCTCATATTGTCCTGTGTATAAATGCAGGTGGCCAATAATGTCCTATTAAGCATTTTGTAATATACCAGAATGTATCAGCGGTGAACAGCAGCTGCTAAGCAAAACGGAAATTGAAAGCTCTGCTCATCATTCAGTGTTTTGCCATATGGCATATCATATGGAATATCAAATAATTCCTTTTATGGATTCAGTGCATTTGGAATCAGAGCATTGCATTTCATTTCCTTCGATTTATAAAAGCATCACAACTCTAAGAATGAAAACAAGGCTTTTAAAATGTGGTATAAATATTATATCTAAAGATCTGCATAAAGCAGTCTTTATTTTCCTTTTCTTGTGCAGATAGCCTGATATTTATTATTTTCAAGTTTTTTCTTTGTTTTGTTTAAGTTTACTTGTTTTGTATTAGACTTTCTATTATCAGAATAAGAGTGATGTGTTCTTTGCATCCGTGTAAGAGTCATTTTATGATAATCTGAGCCCTTCAATCTTATCTCAGTCTTACTGATCAAGTGACCCTCATTGTTTCACCTCATCCATCTGTCACTTTACACCAACTGTCTTCTGACAAGCCTGACCAGGACAAATTACTGAACAAAATATGGCGTCTAACAACCACAAAGAAAGAAAAATGAGTTCTGCTTAGGAGCTCCTCACTCTGTCACCATGCAAAATGGGGAATGATGAAAAAAAGATCTCTTCTTGCAAATGAAGTGGAAAAGTCTCTTTGTGGCAAAAGCCAATTGAAATTCCATCACTCAGTGGAACAAAAAAAAAAAAAAAAGTACACTCATGCCTGAAAATGAGTGCAGCTATTTAACAGAATCAAATTGAACTTAATCTGTTTTAAATTCCTTTTACATTTGCAAGTAGCAATTATTATGTAAAAAAAAAAAAAAAAGCTTTATTTTACCAGAGGCTGTAGCATGCACTGCACAAATAAATTTACTTTGGTTCATCAGGTCAAAAAACAAACAAAAAACATTTAGCCTTAAGTTTGCATTTATTTATTTATATTTTATTTTATGTAGATACTATGAACAATGTCTAATAAAATTAATAATAATAGTACAGTTTTTTTTTTTTTTTGTTTGTTTTTTTTTGTTTCCCAGGTGACGGAGACCCGGACTGGACCTCTTGGATGTAGTAACTATGACAACCTTGACTCTGTTAGCTCTGTGCTTGTTCAGAGCCCTGAAAACAAAGTCCAACTACAAGGTTTGTGTTACTGTTAACAATTATTATTATTATTGTTGTTATTGTTATTATTATTATTATTATATTATTATTATTATTATTACATCCATCCATTATCTTTACCCATTTCTCCCTTTGCGGGTCTCGGAGGTCGCTGGTGCATGTCCAGCAGTCACTGTGTCGGCTGCAGGGGACACCCTGGACACGTCTAAAGACCATCACTCACAGGGACACATAGAGATAAATGAGACAATCAACCATTCACTCTCTCACTCACACTTAGAGACAATTTAGAGTTACTAATCAGCCTAATATTCATGTTTTTGATCTGTGGGAGGAAACCGGAGTACCCAGAGAAAACCCATGCATTCAAATAGAGAACATGCAAACTCCACCCAGAAAGGTCCCTGGCTGGGATTTGACCCAGGTACCTTCACGCTGAGTAAACAGCTCTACCAACTGTGCCATTGTGATCCCCTGTTGTTGTCGTCAGCGTCATTGATGATGATGATGACAATAATAACAATATTAACAATAATAATAATAATAATAATATGGGACAACACAGTGATGAAGCTGGTAGAGCCACCTCTTAGCCACCTCTTAGTGGGAAGGTTGCCGGATCAAATCCTGGTTGGATATCTTTCTGGGTGGAGTTTGCATGTTCTCCGATCATGCGTGGGTTTTCTTTGAGTACTCCAGTTTCCTCCCACAGACCAAAAACATGCATGTTAGGCTGATTGGTAACTAAATTACCCCTAGGTGTGAGTGAGAGAGTGAATGGTTGATTGTCTCATTTGTCTCTTTGTGTCCCTGTGATGGACTGGACACTTGTCCGCCTCTCGCCCAGTGACTGGTGTAAATGGGCGCCAGTGATCTCCTGTGACCCAAAAAGGGAGAAGCACGTACAAGAAAATGGATGCATGGATATATTATTATTTTGCTATTTACATTTTTTTTTTCCAAAGAAAAAAAATATCATGTTGAAAATGTAGGTTTATAAAGAAAATAGCAGTAACTGTTAGGCATACAAACACTTGGATTTATAGATTTTATTAAGTATCTTATCAGCCCAGTCAACAATATACGACTTCTAAAGCTTCACTGCCACTCCCTAAGTGCACATTTTGATGACAGTAGTAAACTCGGGTTGATTTTACAGGCTTGCAAGTGATCCTCCCAGACTACTTGAGGGAAAGTTTTGTGCAGGCCGCTTTAAGCTACATAGCCTGCAATGGAGAAGGGGAGTTTGTCTGCAAAGACAATGACTGCTGGTGCAGCTGTGCCCTCAAGTTCCCAGAGTGCAACTGCCCTTACATGGACATCCAAGCCATGGAGGAAAGTCTGGAGCGGATCACAGAGACGTGGGGGATGCTTTATAAAGAGTTTGAAGAATCAGGTGAGGGAGACATAAAAATATAATGATTTCTTTCTTTCCTTTGAATTGAACATATCATCCTCAATGTGAAAAATCAGACTTTTAAACATAAATCATTCATATAAGGGAAGGTTCGGAAGATTTTTTTTTTTATTTTTTTTTATATGCAATCATGATTGAGAATCATACATGTACTGTATATTTCTCCATACTCTATGATTTATTGTTTATGTGTAACAGCTAAGAAAGAGTAGTTTATTCAAGCTCCCTATCTGTATTTAGAAAATTAACAACATAACATAACCAGATTTTTAAAAAAAAGAAATAAAAAAACCACTCAGCTTTCAGCTCAGGCAGTTTCCAATGAGTATGAAGCAGATTAATCACCTATAAAACCCATTTATTGCCAGTCCAGCTTTTCATATCACCAGGGAAACAGAGGTTGAATGGAAGCTCTTAGCACAATGTTTAGCTATTATTGCTGTGCTCGGTCACACTGACTTGGTGATTATTACTCAGGTGAAACCAAAATGGATGTCTCTCTTTTGCCCAACTTCTCACATTTGCATTATCCTGAATTATTACCAAGTGCAATTACTTTCAAAGTTTATGTTTTAATTGCTGGCTGTGAAGCAAGGCCAGGAATGTGTTCAGACTGCAGACACCCCAAAAGCGTCATAAATGTGTCCTTCAGCAAGAAAAGTCGCAGCTTACTGCTACATCAGCAGAAGATGCAAGATAGTTTTACCACTAAATGAGAGAGAGGTCAGGGCTTCAGTGGATTTTATTGTTAAACTGCCAATATACAGTATTTACAACCCTAATACAGCAGCAAAAAAGGGGTTTTGTGAAGATATAGTGGTGTATTTATGAGCTTCCTTGTGTGTTTGAGCACAGAGGGCCCAGTCGTGCATTCATGTGCTGCACAGATTCTTGTGTGTCTGAAGCATCTATTTAAATATATATATATATATGATGTTGACAGGATATGTTTTGCAGAACCCTGGATCCCTTGTCATGTACTTGATCCCAGTTCTCACACTACATGGAAACATAAGTACATCAATTTCAAAAGCAGCTTTCACTTCCATCATGAGGACAGAAATAGATGTACACTCCCATCTAAAAAGACACTTTTTATACCACACTTGCTCAGAGGTTGTTAATCATTGGAACAATAATATTTATAATTTACAGGTGAATGACCCATTTTAACAATACCTTTCAAGGAAGCTGCTGTGTGATTTACACGGTGGATAAACATGTATTAAAGATTTGTGCACTCAATTGCAACTTTCACAAGTTGCATACAAAATAAGAACATCAATTTTAGAAGATAAACTTTATTTCAAAGTTTTCTATCTGGGCAAATGCAAAAAAAATAAAAAATAAATAAATAAAAATGCAACAGCTCGCACAAGAAACTCGGGCGTCTTCTGTTTTGTCCCAGTTTTCCAGCCCTGGTATTTAAACTTGGATCCCAGAAGATAAACAAACCAACAACACATGTTTATGCAAGACTCCCTGAAAACACAGATGAAAAGATGTGAAAAAAAAAATAGATGTGATATGTTGATATTTGCTGTTCTAATACTTGATGTTTCAAGTAGTGTAGAGCAAGGTCAGGTAAACGATGCTGTTACTTCTGTCCTTTGTTTACCGTAGATCCTGCCGGCATTTATTTTGTCTTAAATCTTTTGAACTTGGGTATCTCCAAGATTAACCCAGTGTGTATGATTTTTGTTTATTTTTTTTTTTTATGAATTGCTTGAGTGGAAAACTACAGCTAGTATTTTTATTGTTTATTCTTTGTTTGTTTTGTTGTTGTTTATGTTGTACTTTAAAATAAAATATATTTAAAAAAAATCAAAGTAAAAAAAAACCCTCCTAAATATGCATGCGCATTCCAATAAAATGTATATCAGCTGGATTGATGGCTTAAGCAATTATTTTAAAAACTATGCAAACTAATTAAACAACCTGCTTCAGTTATAGTCCACACGAATAGATACGATGTCATATGAAATGGAGTCTTAATGTATGAAGCAGCACATCTGCTTGTTTTCTTTGAATCGGATGTTCTTTGACATCCTGCATTGTTGCTGACACTGATGCTAAATAAGTCCTTTTCTGCAATTCCAGATGAATTCAAGGCCTTCTATTCAAGGCTGCCCCAGAACTACTTTTTGAATGTGTCAACGATACAACACTTGTGGTCCTTGAACAGCCTGTTTCAGTGGAGATATGAGCAGCTGGAGAACAGTATGAACATCCTCTCCAAACGAGCCCAGAGAGTCATCTTCAAGCTCTTTAGTCTCAGTAAAAGATGTCACCGACAACCCCAAGTCCGCATTCCGAGAGAACGGTGAGAATAAGTCGTCATCTCCTCTCGTCATCTGGGTCCACATTTCACTTGTCATATGTTTTTTTTGTTTTTTTGTTTTTTTTTGTGAATACAGTTTTGGTCAAGACTTATACAACTGAATCAGACTTGTGTAATGTTTGCTAAAGTATAAGGTAAACTCAATAACGGTTCCTAGCATTTTGTTTAAAAATGTCAGGTTTTCAGAGAAAAAAAAAAACCAACAACCAAAAAAAACAATGTTCAGTTAGGTCATCGGGACGTTTTTTTTTTTTTTTTTTTTTGGCTGAGACATTTCGTCCATCATTCAAAGCACTTATTCAATCTGAAGAGCCAGTCATCAACAAAACTGAGTCCCACAACAAACAGCACACTCCAATAATGGGAAGAACAAAAACAAACCGTTTACTGGTTTGCTTGAGACTCGGTTTGTTGTTGGCTGGCTCCATAGATTGAAAAAAGTTATTCGGATGACGAACGAAACGTCTCAGCAAATAAAACAAAAGGAAACCATCCAGATGACCTGACTGAACATTGTTGGATTCTTAATGGATTATTGAGCATGAACTTTGGTGTTTTCAAAAAAAAAAAAACATTAAGAAAAAAAAAACGTTTTTTTGTATTGACTAATGATGATGAGCTGTGGCTGCCATCTTGGATTAGATCTGTTGTAGAAGTATATCACATAATAAATTTAAACTTTTCTTTTAACTTTTCATTAAACAGTTCTTAAAATAATGTATCTAGTGATTCATGGGAAGCAAATAGATTTCAACTGCTGAAGTCGAAAGCAAATAATTCACATGATGAGTTGCACTTAGGACAGATCGTGTAAACAGACTTAATTGTAGCCATTTTAATTAAGTCTGTGTAAACAGACCATTATAGTTATTTGAATGAAGATAATTAAACAAAAGAAGAGTAGAGGTCATAGAAAGTGTGGACCAGGAAGTGGAAAAGATTAGTGAGGATGATGTCCGGAAAGCTCTGAAAAGAATGCAGACGGGGGAAGGCAGTAGGACCTGATGACAAACCAGTGGAGGTTTGGAAATGTCTTGGAGAGATAGCAGTGATGTTTTTGACTCAAATATTCAATGGCATATATGAGAGTGAAAAAATGCCTCAGGAATGGAGAAGACGTGTGCTGGTGCCCATTTTAAGAACAAGGGTGATGTACAGAGTTGTAGCAACTACAAGTGAATTAAGCTGATGAGTCACACAATGAAGATCTGGGAGAGAGTTGTGGAAGCAAGACTTAGACGAGAGGTGACTATCTGTGAGCAGCAATATGGTTTAATGCCAAGAAAGAGACACCACAGATGCCATTTTTGCTTTGAGAATGCTGATGGAAAAGTACAGAGAGGGTCAGAAAGAACTCCATTGTGTCTTTGTGGATTTAGAAAAAAGCATATGACAGAGTGCCAAGAGAGGAGGTGAGGTATTGCATGAGGAAATCTGGAGTGGCAGAAAAGTATGTTAGACTGATAGAGGACATGTATGAGGACAGCAGGACATGTTAAATTGGTACAGGGCATGCATGAGGGCAGCAGGACAGTGGTGAAATGTGCTGTAGAAGTGGCAGATAGCTTCAAGGTGGAGGTGGGAGTGCATCACGGATCGGCTATGAGCCCCTTCTTGTTTGCTCTGGTGATGGACTGACTAACAGATGAGTTCAGGCAGGAATCCCCATGGACTATGATGTTTGCAGATGACATTGTGATCAGTGGTGAGAAAGGGAACAGGTGGAAGATAACTTGGAGAGGTGGAGGTATGCACTTGAAAGAAGAGGAATGAAAGTCAGCCGTGGTAAGACAGAGTACATGTTTATGAATGAGAGGGAGGAGGTGGAACAGTGAGGCTACAAGGAGCAGAGGTCACAAAGGTGCATGCCTTCTAGTACTTGGGGTTCACTGTCCAGGAAAATGGGGAGTGTGGTAAAGAGGTGAAAAAGAGAGTCCAGGTAGGATGGAATGGATGGAGAAAAGTTTTGGGAGTTATTTGTGACAAAATGGTGTCAGTATAGGTTAAAATAAAAGTTTACAAGACATGGTGAGACCATGTATGTTGTATGGTCTGGAGACAGAGACATGGACAAAAAGACAGGAGAAAGAACTGGAAGTGGCAGAAATGAAGATGTTGAGGTTCTGCTTAGGAGTGACAAGGATGGATAAGATTAGGAATGAGGTCATCAGAGTTACAGCACAGGTTGAACAACTGGGAGATAAAGTTAGAGAGGCCAGACTGAGATGGTTTGGACATGTCCAGAGGAGGGACAGTGGGTATATTGGTAGAAGGATGTTAGAAATGCAGCTGCCAGGAAAAAGACAAAGAGGAGATATATGGATGTTGTTAGAGTGGACATTGAGGTAGTTAGAGTGAGGACAATATTTTGGATTCAATTCCAAATAGTTGATGTTAAAAGTAAAGTGTTGGGGTTTCAGTCTCAGCTACCACCACAAACAAATTGGGCCAATATCTGTAAAATTACCTTAAATGTCAACTTTTTTTGCATATTAAAGATTGATTGTCTCCCAAATTGAATCGGTTGAAGTACATGTCATGATTACGTTCTGCGTGTTTCAAATAAGTTTGTCCAGTAGTTTAAATGTTTTGGTAAAAGATGGTCATGAATGCACGCACAAAGACACAGGCAAAACGTTATCTGCTGCTGCCATTCAACAATGGGCAACACACTATGAATGTGCAACTGTGGGGGCTTGCACAAGGAGAACATGGTAACTCTGCACAGAGACGCCAAGCTAGAGGTGAACCCAAACCTGCAACTTCTGAAAGCATTTCAAGGTTCAAAGTTCTTTATTGTAATTCACATCACATGTGGTACCTGAGGTGGAACAGAACTGTGCACTCAAGGACCCAGTTACATCCAAAAATAGCACAAATATAAAGTATAAAAATAAATGCAATACAAGGACACACACTAAACAAACACTAAACGATATGGTAAACAATCTAAGATATATGGTAAACACTAATAATGTGAAATAAAATGGTATATTAAACAGCAGCCCGAACATGAGTCTGTAGTGAGCAGATGAGTATGATTTTGAAGCCTTTTGAATTTTGTTAAAACAAAAAATTATAAATAAATAAATAAAAACATCTGAGTCTTCATTTCAGTATTTTCCACAATAAGTGACTGTGTTACAAAGTTACTCTCAGGCTCCTTCAGTCTTTGCTTTCAAGCCAGAAAACCATCACTTATCAGAAAAAAAATAAAACAAAAAACACTAGACTTGTAAAAGTAGTGAAGTGGTATTTACAGAAGGTGATGCATCACATCATCACGTCAGTCCCACTGCTTCAGTTTATTTCAGCAAGCACTGACATGACATCAGCATCTGTGGCAACAGCATATAGATCTTTTGCCAGATTAATCTAAAGAGATTTCTTGATGTCCAGTCTCACAATCTTTTCTCATTGCCATCCCGCTTATTAATTGTTTTCTGCATCACAATGCCAAAACACACATTAATCACTGATCTGCGCAGCTGATTTTTTCCATCTACTTGCCAGGAAGTTTCATTCTTGTCTTGTAAGCAGTGTTTATCTCTGTTATGGCAGTTATGTCAACAATGATGCTTTCCCTTCCTTTGTTCTCTTTATGGAAATCTTGATTCGCAATGGAAAGAGTAGAATATTTACAAGTTTGCCTGGGAGAGAAACGGAAGCCCTCCTTTTAACATCCTGTTCTCAGCACTTGAGATTGATGAGAGATAAAGGATTGATTTTACGTCCTCGGGGTTGCTTCTCCACTGTGCTGACAATTATGAATGAATAAGACAGTCGATGCAGCCGACGGCTTGGCTTTTGTTAGGGGGGAAGATAGCACAGCATACATTTTTGCTCTAAGTCAGACATATTGATTTACATTCAAATGATGGTTTCACAGCTTTTATTTCTGATATCAGATAAGCATTTTTTTAATACAAAGGCAAATCTGAAAATAAGTAACAAAAATCATCGTGCACATCAAAAGTATATGCAAGTATCATGAGTATTGCTCTGCTGTTGTGTTTTTGTTTTCCAACACTTTTGTCTGCGAGTGAGCTGGAGAGTGCATTCCTTGGGGTGGTGCCGGTTCCACTGGCACCTAGCTCCGCTGTGAATCATTGCAGCTGATTGAGGCCCCGGTTATTTAAACTGAGCCGTATCATTACAGGGAAACGTTACATGTAACATGGTCGCTATGTTTATATGGACATAAGTAATCAGATTAAACAGCCATTCGGAATAACAATGCATCATGTAAACGCCCCATTCCGATTATTCTTTGTTGATTCAGGTCCAACTGAAACAATTTGTAATCAGAATGAGACAAGTGGTTTATGCCGATTCATAATCCGAATGGTGTGCATGTATACACTTAATCTGATCATTTTATTCCGATTGTGAAAAACTGACCTGACTGTGCATGTGTGACCTATGCCTACCGCACATATTTCCACCTGGCTAATGCTAATAATATTAGCATATCTGGGAAGCAAAACTTGTCGGTGAGCGACAAAACATTTCTACTAGAAACTTTAAAAGAGCTCAAAATGATCTGTGTTACCTGTAGATCAATCTGGAAGTGCAGTAACGTCTCCACCGTCATTTAAACCTGTCGCGGGTCCATTTTGGGCGCTCAGGTTTGTTTACGATGATCACGGAAGTAAATCGGAAGTATAACTTCTTCTTAAGTGGTTTTTTTTGTGTGTTTGTTTGTTTGTTTGTGTGTGTGAGTGTTTCCTTGACCGATGAAGCCTTCCAGATAGAAGGTGAAACGTTTCAGCAAAAAATAAACTTTTCAGATGACCTGACTAAAAATTGTTGGATTGTATATCTGGATTATTGAGCATTTACCTTTTTTTTTTTTTTTTAAGGAGAGTTTACCACTGCACATGTGCGTACTTCTGTTCAGAATAAAAGCCCGCTGCATGTAAACGCTCGTCGTGAATGGATTGTGCCCATGTAAACGATACATTTGAATTATTTAATCTGAAAACATTTCAATCCAGTCAAATCATTTTGTGCGTGTAAACATATTGAGTGACAGTATTCCTCATCCCTCTTTCCACATGTTTTGTCAAACAATTTAGAAACTTTCCATGAATGTAAACCGTTATTGGACAAAACCAAAGGGAAGCTCATGATAACACAAGACAAAGGTAACTATAGGATTTATAAAAATAAAAAAAATCTGGTCTATAAGCCTACTTTAAAATTATACAGGCTGTCTCCTTAACAAACATAGATTGGACATTAGTAAAATGCACTTGCTTGATAAAGAAACATACAAAGTACAAACAAGTAGCTTTATTGTAATAAATACAGAGTCGCTGACTGGAGGATTTTTTACTCCTGAGTGAAAAATAGCTAAATATGTTACTTTAGGTGTTAATTTATCAAATTCTGGGAGCCAGACTCAGAAGTTGTCAAGCCAGCTGGTCTTAAGAATAGGAGTAAAATGAAAGACAGAAATGGGAAATAATTATGCATATACTGTGTGCCATCATTGCATAATTTCTTGATACCAAATAGTTTTCATTTTACATATTTATCTTGGACAGTCCTAACATTATCATAATTTATTTAATCGTTATTTGACCATATATGAAACAGTTTTGAAAGACAAAGAAGTTAATTTCTAGATAACTTTAAACAATGTGCTGAGACCAACAAAAGCACATAATTGGCTGTCTGAAAAAAATAAATAAATAAACAACTTGGCAGGCAAAACTCACAAGCTGTGACAAAAGCTATGGTTGGAAAAACATCAAACAAACAAAAAAAAAAGTAAAAAAACAAATGTCAAAACAACTGCAAACATGAATAAAAGCAGCATGGGCAAAAACAGCTGGAAAATTCAGCCAAAAAAACTCGAGTAAAGTGACAGCTAAAGGAGGGAAAGACACGTTATAAAGATATATGAAGAGCGAGGACAACATGCAGGAAAACCAGCAGATCACAAGACAAAATATGTATATTTATATTAAAATACGTCTCACCAGCAGAAAGTAGAGCAAAGAGCAGCAGGCATGGACAGAAAGCTGTGGTAAAAATGCAACATCTTCCTTCAGCTTTAGTCTCCCCCCCCCACACACACACACACACTAACGGGCATTTCACCAAGCGTTTGTGAAAGGGAAGTACTTTCATGAACTAAAAATAATCAACAACTAAAATTCATTATTAGTTTCAAATCTTGAGTGATTACTTAAGTGAAAACATCACAAGTATGTGTTTTGCTGATTAATATATGTTTAATATTTTAGTTTTTTGCTCTGCTTTTATGCTGATTTACGACAGCAACCTGCAGGTAGATTCGCAGGGGGCATGGAGGCTGCACATCATCACACCAAGGGAACCAACAGTTCATCTGCAGCTTTGTCCTGGCAACAGCTTTGCTCCTCTGAAGCTTTTGGGGGTTAAACGTTTTACTAACAGTTATTAAAAGATGGAGAGGAAGCATGTTTTCAGATCAACTAATGCCACCCCACCCACTCCATCCGATCCCCCTTTTTCATTTTCCATGAAAAGGTTTAGCTATTCAAATTGGTGATTGTCTTGGTGATTTCTGAACTAGAGCTTTCTTCCTGCTGCCAAGCAAACAATACAATTGGAAAGATGCCCATAACACGATCCAACAAACTTTTTTTGTTGATTAGCATACAGTTTTCCTACATAAATCCACATAAAATATATTTTCTTGTAAGAGAGCCAGCAGTATATGCTTAGCATGTTTTACTGCAATTTAAGAAGATTACATAATAAAGGGATCGTAGCAGAAATAAAAAAATAAAAAAATGCAAGTGAAAGGAAGCATCAACAATTCGCATGAGGCATTGTTTGAAACTAATTAACCTTACAGCTGCTGCACAGCTGTGTGCATTATAACATTATGTTTATGTCACAAAGTGATCAAAGTTAACTTTCTTTTTATCATGTTATTTACTTTGTTTTGAACCTGAGTCTAAAAAGGCATTATATATATATAGCAGAAATAAAAAAATAATATATATATATATATATATAT